TTGGAGCTTCGATCTTGTTTTTCTTTTAGTTAGAGTAGTGTTTAGATTAATTTTAGTGTTGATTTATATCCGTATCACACATATTTCCCCGATTCCGGATCAGTTACCACACTCACAACGTTCATTCAGGATCCATCAATATGAATCTAAACACATAACTATTTTCCTAAAGGTGAGAAGATTAAATATTACAACACACACACTCATCTCAAGCTCCCTTCGAGCAACTCAAGCGCCTAGTTAATCCAATTAAATTTTTATTGATCCGTAACTTCTTATTTACTTAGCACCCAGGTAATATCTTAATCGATAAGGGGATTCCAAAAATCACTGATTTCGGTGCCGCAAAAATAATGTGCGAGACAACCAATCACAGAAATGGCGTTATGGGTGCAGTGGCTTATCTTGATCCTAAACGCCTTGAAAAAGACTCATATAAATTTCAAAAATCATCAGACATATATTCACTTGGTGTTATTTTCTGGCAAATATCTCACGGCAAGAAACCATTCAAGGACGAGTATGACAAAAAATTATTAGGCCAACTTCGTGATAAAATTCTGAAAGGATGTAGAGAAATAACCACCGAAAATATCCCAGTCAAGTATGTTAAACTATATGAAGCCTGTTGGCAATTTAATCCACAATTGCGACCTTCTATTGCTGAGGTATTAGATGAATTGGAAGAGTATTAAGCAAGTCATTAGAGAAAAAACCACTTTATTGGATTAGCAATAATATTTGTGTATAAATTTAGGCTGTTTCGTTTTTCTCATGATACGAATATATTGCTGTATTGTGTTTATCTATTTACTATTAACTCAAACTATATTTTTATACAAAATATTCTCGGATGTATAAATATTTCTATCAATATAAAATAAAAAGTTTATAAATTCCCATTTAGTGAAGCGGTAGAAACTTAAAGCATCAGAAAAACCATAACGTAGGTTATAACTTATTTTATTAAATTATATCAGTATTGAGAGGTTATCAGATTTGAAAACATTATAAACTATTAAAATTTATATAACACAAATGGACATGGTAGATTAACTTTTTATCAGATTTGACAGGTTATCAATTTTGACAAGATCAGTTTTGAGAAGCGGGAGAATAAACGAGTTATTCACCCGGAGGCTATTTCCCTATTGAGTTTGAATTAAGTTGTGCCCAGAAATAATAGCGTAATGAACAATTAGTAAAACGAGTATTATACTATTTGGTATTACAATCAGTGACATTCTATATGTCGTAACTTTAATAATTTTTACTATATATTGCGTAAAGTGCAAACATATATTATATAATATACTAGTGGGACGATTACAATTTAGATAAAGCTAAAATTTAAAGTTTAGTTAACACTGTAAAATCTGTTTCGCAAACTTGATAGCGTTATATATATATTCTCTAGCTCTAGTTCATGTTCAAAATAGTTTTTGAGCTGAGTGATTAATGTATGTCAATACAACTAATGTAAAAATATGAAACCCAAAGATTTAGTATATCTCTTTGCTAATTTCTTCGTTTTTTTCACTTTCTATTTTTTTATCGGATTTTTTATCGTGTTGATTAATTGATACTATCAATTAACGATCGTGATCCGATCTAGCAACTAGATCTCACTGATGAATAAAAATTATTAGTCAATCTTTTTAGTTTTGATCAATTGACTCAATTGAAGCATTTTAAATTACTGAAACTATGCGTGCTATCCAAATTTGTTCAGACTGAGCTTATTTTTTTTATTATAAATGATGATACGTGCGTACGTACGTATCAGTGATGCCGACATAATCTTTTATCATTACTATGTTTTGGGTTTTATCACATGATAAAATTTATTTGACATATACCATAGTTAATTGTTACGTAAAATAAAAACGAGATTTGTCCAAATTAATTCGATTTACACATAGTAAAAGAAATTATTCTTGCACAGTACGTACGTACGTCCGGATGATCACGTAAAGTGATGATGTGCATTATCAATGAACGTAATCATGTGATGATTTTTACTGTACTGTATATTAGATAATATAAACCGAATACGTACGTACATACTGTTTCGAAATTTTCCGAATAGAATATCAAAAATTGAAAAACTGCACATGAAATTTACTAATTTGCACATCACTAGGTAACTAGTTATCTGTATTACAAATATATGAATGGGTATATCGATATCGATAAATATGAATGCTGTATGTACGTATTCGGATTTACATTTACGCTCTAATACACATTGTTCGACCATTCTTATTGTTATTGTTATTATTGATACATAACAGATGCCAAACCACTCAAAAGAATGGCTTGAAAAAGCTATTTGTGAGAAACATCTAAAATACTTTGAGTACGATGAATTCGTTGGCCGTGAGAAAATTGGTATAGGAGGATTTGGGATGGTGTATAAATCGGAATGGAAAAGCTATAGTCTAACAGTTGCGCTTAAAAAAATGAAAGTAGAATACGTTGATGAAAAGTCCACTAAAATGTTTGTTAGAGAGGTGAGAACTATATTATCTATTGCAATGCAAAAAAAATTTACACTTATTTATTGGATATATATTCAGCTTAAGCTTTTGCTCAAAGCCGCTTCTCATCCAAATGTAATTGAATTTCATGGAGTCACCCAAGGTTAATGCCGAAGTTATATAATTTGCTATATTACTATATTGATAATTTTAATAAATTTAAAGTTTATATCAAAATAATAGATCCATCAGATGGATTATATACCATTATTTTACAATATGCTGATGAAGGAAATTTACGAGAATATTTAGGAAAAAATTTTTCAAAACTTGAATGGTTAGATAAACTACAAATGGCTAATGATATAACAGAAGGACTTGCATTTTTACATGATAATGATATCGTTCACTGAGATCTTGTAAGTGTATTAATCATGTGAAATCAATTTCAATCCTCATAACTTTAATCGGGTTGCAGAGAAACACTAATCTATACAAGATTACTCTCAAAATTCCGGTTGAATCCTGGTCGAATGTGCAGTATTAATCATTTTAAAAAAAAAGCTCGCTCAAGATAATTTTGTTTAATGATCTACAAATGGATCCAAAATAGTCCGGGGACACTTCAAATTCAAATAGAGATAATTTATTGCCATTATTATATAGTATTGGATCCCTTTGGATTAGGGATCAGGTCCCAACCGAATCCTTGAAAGGATCTGTAAGAACTCGAGGATTCAGTCTTTAAATCATATAAAAATACAATGCATTTTATAGAACTTAGATCAGAATTGAATTATTATAACAATACAAATTAATTTGATTGGATGGGCTTATTCAAGTCCTATAAAACGTATTGTGTTTTCATGTGATTTAAGGACCAAGTCCGGGGACCATCCTCTTAAATCCTAGGGTCAGACCGGACTGGATTCGCAATTTAAATCCCTACTTTGGATTAATTTGTAGAATATTGATTTTGATATAGATATAGTTGACTGGTGTTGTTTAATGCTGTTGAGGTACCAACCTGGAATTTGGGATTAAAGATAGCCTAACTCATAATTAGGGATGGTGCATTACAATTTGAGGCCAATTGTATAATGATAATATCCAATAAGAAATTTGGGAATTTCACTTGCACATTCTTATTATGAATTAGTCGGGCAGTAGCTTATGAGAAATATTTATTTGACTGATACACTAAAACCACTATTCCGGGGATGGCGGTTTTCTGCAATATGCAGAATATCACAGAACAAGGACAATGATTTTCTGCGTTTCATGGAATTCCACAGAATCAAGGATCCATTTTGTAAATAAGGAAAACACAGAATGCATCAAAATAGAAATATGCCTTGGATTTTTATAAATTCCGAAAAATCCTGATGTGAGAACAAATGAACTTAAAAGACGAATCATCTTAAAATCATCGTCACTGACTTATACCTAACACTAACTCTAAATATCATGCCGGTCAAATGATATTTCATATGATATAGAGTTATGTCATATGACAATTTGATATTGAATATGACAAGTCATAAAAGTCATATAAGTCATATGATATCATCGTCCAACACTGCTCTGATAGTTGGTGTCAGAAAACTGTTCTTGCGACTATCAATAAGAACAGAATATTGTTGCGTGACGCGAACTTCAAAAAAATTTGTCTCGAGATTTTTATTTGGTACACACTCTCTAACATTAATGAATTTTCTTGGAAAACAGGCTTTTAACGGTTTGATTTAATTTGTTCGAAGAACATAAGCTACTTCTACAACATGTGTTAGGCGCCGTAAAAAGGAAGAAATTTAATAAAAAATATATTTGCAAAAAATTAAATTTTTTAATCAAATTGATAACCATTGAGAAAATTAATTTTTGCAAATATTTTTTTGCTAGATTTGTCCCATTTTATAATACCTAGCCCATAGATCTTGTACAAATAACGGTGTTTCTAAGGAATGTACACTTTTATGCTATAGGTGTATATTCCTTACGTATTGTCGTGGTTTTTCGAACAATCTCTATATGATATCGGTATATTCTGTTAATAGAGCTGGATTGGCCTCGAATTATCATCATGATCATTTAATATGATTTGACCTGTGCTCCATTGTGAGCGTGCGTATCATAGACGAGAGTCCTGGAGTAAAGTGATCCCAGATATGAGAAGAGTAAGGCAATCGAAAGACTACATGACAAAAGACCTGAGTAAGACGAAAGTCTTATTTGTTGACTCCAATATGATGTAATTGCATAGTGAAGATGATACTAATTCCAAGATATTTCTATGTTGATAATTATTTAAATTCTAAATTTTATAGAATGTCTATTTACAAGGTGATAATGTTAAATTCTGAATTTTGTGGGTTGTAACATTTAATCATATAAGATTTGACATAATCAACTTTGTAAACATACATTTCATTATACAATTCAGAATTTAAATTATAAAAAAAGAATTTATTTCACTAATTTGTGATTAAAACTGATGAGATACCATAAAACCACACGAATTACCCATCGAACAATTAAATTTCAAGATCAGGTGTAGCACAATGAAAACTTAGAAAACTTTATTTTATATACTCTTTTGTCGCACGAAGAAACAACACACACTTTACTGAAACCTTTTGTTGTAGCCTACCCAATACAAACCATAAATCTTTAAGGAAGCCTTTAAGTTTGATGCTTGCCTTCTATACAAATCCAGCAGGTCAACCGACATTAACTGTTGTCCTTGTTGTTTTTTCCTGGGTTTTTTCTACCGTATAAACACGAAATAACGCACAAAGATTTAATTTTAATTTTGCCCTAAATTAAGTTTAATTCGGGCCATTAGTAATGATAATCCCGTGATATTGGCATAGTGATCGGGGATTAACACCCCGGGCGTTATTTCGCGTTTATACGGTATAAAGATTTTGTCATGAAGTCAAGCACCGATAGTCTAAAAAAAGTTTAGTTTGGATTAGAATTGTGCAGTTACACCAAAATTTCTTATGAAAGTCTTCTTGGCATGCAGAAGACATTTTATGAAGAAATTAAGTTACTATGAGTTTTTGACTTTTATTTTTGTGTTTGAAAACTCTTTGATCTACAATTGATCTTGAAAGTTAGTTGTCAGAAATAACTCATTTCCTCATACATCTGTTGGAATTTTGTATCATCAAGAATTAAAATCAGTGATTTTTATATTAATATATTTTACTTAATTATTTATAATATAGCACTCTAAAAATATTCTTGTGCATGAAGGAAAAATGATGATTGCTGATTTTGGTCTATCAAAATTAATAAATGAGACATCATCATCCTTATTAAACTCAAATGTATGCGGAATGGTCGCATATATCGATCCGCAATGCTTAATAAATCACACATTTAAATTCAACAACAAGTCTGACATATACAGTTTAGGAGTTGTATTCTGGGAGATTTCTAGTGGACAAACTCCATTTAAATCGGCTACAAACGCATTTTCACTTTCACTTCATATACTCCATGGAATTAGGGAAATACCTTTTAAAGGTACTCCTCCTCAATATATCCAGCTTTATAAATCATGCTGGAACGAAGATCCGAATAAACGTCCAGAAATAAAATCAATTATTGAGAATTTGAATCATATTAGGAGCCAGGCTTCATTGTTGAATTATGCAAGTTCTCAAGAAATAGATGAAAATGATGAAATTACTCAATCTAATGCAGGTAGTTTGCAGTAACAAAATAATGATATTATATATCTGGATAACTAATTTTTCAATATATTTAACTTTAATTAAAACTATTCCATATATACTCCTTTTAAAGTAAATGACGTAAGTTCTAAAGTTATATATTGCCTATTTTCATATATTTCTAAATGCATAATCAATGCAATTTTTCTCATATAGGATAGTGAAGAATCTCTTTTAAATTTAAATTATTCATTAGAAATCAAGAATGGTGATGAATATATGTTAAAATTCCGAGGAAAAACCTATCATTCGTTAGACATATATGAAAAAGCACTTTCAGATTTAGATAAATTACTAGAAATTGAGCCAAATAATGTGTCAACTTTAATAAGTCGTGGTGTAACTAATTGTTCGATGGGAAGATATGAAGAAGCGCTCACAGATTTTTTTAAATCTTTGGAAATAGAACCAAATAATGCATCTGGGTTAAGAAATAGTGGTGTTGTTTATCGGTTAACACGTAAATATGAGGAGGCTCTTACAGATTTAAATAAATCATTAAAAATTGAACCAAATAATTATATAGGTTTATGGAATCGTGGTGCAGTTTATCGTGAAATGAGCCGATACGGTGAATCCCTTTCAGATCTAAATAGATCTTTAGAGATTGAACCAAATAATGTATTTGCATTAATATTCCGCGGGACAGCTTATCGTGAGATGAGCAAATATGATGAAGCACTCGCAGATCTGAATAAATCAATAGAAATCGATCCAAATAATGCAATTGCATTGAGTGGAAGAGGTGCAACTTATCGACTAATGAATAGATATAAAGAAGCACTTGCTGATTTAAACAAGTCTTTAGAATATGAACCAAATAATGAATTTGCATTATGGAACCGTAGGGAAACTTACCGTAGGATGAGTAAATACGAAATAACGCTTGCAGACTTGAATAAATCGCTAGAGATTAGGCCAAATGATGCTCCACTTTTAAGAAATCGTGGAATAACTTATCGTTTGATGTGTAGATATGAAGAAGCGCTTGCTGATTTAAATAAATCATTAAAAATTGATCCAAATGATGCTGATGCTTTGAGAGGTCGTGGTGCAACTTATAGACTAATGCATAGATATAATGAAGCACTTGAAGATTTAAAAGAATCACTAGACATCGAGCCAAACAATGCGTTAGAGATTGATCCAAACAATGCATTTGCGTTATGGAACCGCGGAGAAGCTTATAGTAAAATGACCAGATATAAAGAGGCACTTGTAGATTTGAACAAATCACTATACATAGAACCAAATAATTCATTTTCATTGAGAAATCGTGGTGCAACTTATCGCGAGATAAATAAATATGAAGAAGCACTTGAAGATTTAAACAAGTCATTAGAAATTGAACCAAACGACGCATGTGCATTAAGAAATCGTGGAATAACCTATCAATTAATGAATAGATATAAAGAAGCTTTTGCAGACATAAACAAATCTTTAGAAATCGAACCAACCGATGAATGGGCACTAAAATTCAGGGAAGAAATTCATAGTGCGATGTAAGCAAGACTTGCGGATCTTATCGATTATTTGATGTTCATTTATGTGACATTTTGATATAGCCATCATAATAGATTACAAGGGAGTGCAATCTATATTGTTCATTATTTAAGCTGTTGTTTTTAATGCATTTTAATTATGGACAGTCCAATATGGCCTATAGCATGTGTATATTTTTTTTACAGCTAATTGTCAGATCAGATAAAAGCTATCATGTACAAGTAAAAATTGCAATGATGCAATATAATTGCCAACCAAATTAGTGATAAATCCAAGACTCTCATGAGTATACAGAACTATAATAAGTTCGTTTATTGTATATATTTGGATTCAAGATCAAAGATTTTTAATTCATCTTTTGTTTTTTTTTTGTATTTAACCACACTTATAGCCCAATTTGATTATCTCTACATTACTGTAGACAAGTGTGATGGTATAAATTATTGATAATCTGTTAATAAAAATAATGACTCATTGGCCTTTCAAATATAGCAGTTCTAAATTTATCATTGCTAAATTGAAATCCGCAATCTTTAAGTTTTGATCAGCTAAAAATCTTAGCTAATAAGAAAGTATGTTGGACTTATTTTTTAAATTCGTGTTATTGTGCATAATTTTAATGTTGTTAATTATTTTGATTAATTTTTTTATTTAACATGATAAATTTTATTAACGTTAATCAATAATAATAATAATAATAATAATAAATCGCTTTTATAGATAAAAAATCACTAAGGAATACATAATATAATGGCTATTATACGTCATAAATTAAATCGCATCATCGATCTGGTTACAAAAATTATAACCCAAATCTCTTAATGTGCAGTAACTACATAGCTACGATTAAATTTAATATTAATTATGTAGTTACTGCGAATTAAGATATTTAAGTTTCTGTAAAGTATTATAAACCATAATATGTAATTGAAGTCAAATCCGCCTATATTGTTTATCATATACAGCAAAACTTCCTTTAATGCAATACATAGGAATCAGTTTTGCATTTAGAGTGTTATGATTGTCAATGATACAACTTGTGACATAAGTAAAATCGTCGGTCTGTTTTAATCATGACCACGTTGCTACTGTAGATATTATTATTATATTATTTTTATTGAAAAAAAACCGCTGTTTAATACCAATTAATTAAGAGAGATTGGCTCGACTCACCATTTAATATTTGCTTGCTGCATGTTGAATATTTTTTCTCCAACCCATTTTATTTACTCCCAATTTTTCCAAGTCCACGTCAGTTAATTGTTTGATCATACTTACGGTAATTTCTTCCTGTGTAAACTTTTCTTCTAACATCAAATATGCACCATTTCCATTATGAACTCTATCAAGCTCACTCAAGAATTCATGTAAGGTAGGGATTAAGACTGCTATATTGCCAAAACAACACATTAAAAATGGACATCAACCGTTATATTATAAAATTAACAATCAATGTTAACGTATATACTCTGATTTTCTTTGACTTTTTTTTCGTTTTCTTTATCTTTTTTGATCTGCTTCAATATATCAACAACTTGGGCAATATTAGGTCGATTCTCTGGCTCAAGCTTCCAACAATCTTCGTAGAGGTAGACATATCTATCCGGGGTACCTTCAACTTTTTTTTCTCTTTCGCCACCAACTGCAATTCTTTCAGATAGTTCCTCTTTAGGAATCTTATCTTTGATTGTTTCGAATGGTGCTCGACCACTGGATATTTGCCAGATAATAACGCCAAGTGAATAAATGTCAGACGACTTTTGCATTTGATATTTTGGCTTGTCATCACATCCATGACATTTTGGTTCACGAAAACAAACAGCTCCCATTTTTCCATTTCTATGAGAGGTAGTTAGGCCCATTTGCTTCCCAGCACCAAAATCAGCAATTTTGGGGGTTCCATCGTGAATCAAGACATTTCCCGGATGCTTGGGATTGTAAAAATGGTGAATAAAGGGAACTCTTATACTTTGTATGCTTCAAAATTACTTACCAGATCACGGTGAATAATATTTTTATCATGAAGACATTTTAGACCTTCTGCAATACCCAGCGTCAATTGTATTTTATCTAGCCATGATAAACGATTGAAGATGATTGGATCCTCAATATAGTTTTCGAGACTACCACAGTTTGCAAACTCCATAACAATAAGGTGTGATTCTTTTTCATATTCGTCTTTTTCTATTCAAAAGCCAAAGAACTTTCAAATAAATGTTAAATTCGTAATTAATTTGTATTAATATGTAAATCATTGTAGATACCTTTAGTAAAGCCAAAAACTTTTATTACATTATCAGCCGTTTTAACTAAGTCATGCAAATAAAGCTAAAATTATTTAGCATATATATCTTTGATTTTCAATTATCAATTTATGACTACCAACCTCATATATAAAATGTTTTCTACATTCCTCAGAATCTTCTGCGTCTCTTTGAACTTTTTTAATAACTACCTGATCCTTGCAATTTTCCCAGGTAGCAAGTCTAAGTTCTCCACACCCACTTCCTCCCAAAGGTTCAGATGAGATTTTAAACTCTTTGTATGGAATCTCTAAATTTTTTACTTGAGCCTCAAACCATTTTTCTTTGACACCAGACTCATCTAAAAGTGTCAGAAGTGTTTAATTATTAAATCTCTTATTTTAATTAATAACGAAAATTACCTTTTTCAGAACTATGGCTTTTAGATTTGCGGTAAATGAAGTGTAACTGACTGCTCATTTGCGGACTTTCTTTAAGATTATATAGTCGTCTTATCCATTCTATTTCAAGTTCTTTTTTGAATCCTAGAGCTTCAGCATATTTATTTTTGTTCACAATTGAAGCACTAAGCAAAACATTACACCATCCAGCGAACATAAAAAATAGCTCTTCTGCCTTAGGCCGGTTTTCAGGGACTGGTTGCCAGCATTGTCTCATTAAAGTAACATAACAATCAGGCGTATACAATGGTATTGTTGGACGTTTATCTTTTTCAATAATTGCTTTTTTTAAGCTTTCATAATCTTTATCAGAAAGTTCAGAGAATGGAAGTTCGCCGGATATAAACACTGACAGCATAATTCCAAATGAATAAATGTCCGCTGCTGTCGTATATTCTTCGCCGCGCAAGTATTCTGGGGCCATGAACGGTAAAACTCCGTAGAGTTTTGTTTCACCCACCATAGGACTTTCATTCACTGGACGGCTGTGACCGAAATCAGAGAGCCGTACACCATCGATACCAAACAAAATATTACCCGTGTGAAAATCCATGTGGCAATAATTTTCCTTATGAATGACACTCAACCCGTCACATATATCCTTGAGAATATTGTTAAGTTCAAACCAATTCAGGTTCTCAATTTTTTTCAGAAAATACTTTTTCAAATCGCCGTATTGTTGAAATTGAAGGACTATAGCATAACTACCTGTGTCAGGATGACGAGTCAGGCCATAAATCCGGGTCACAAAGCCTGAGAAACGAAATTCCAGGTTAATTTTCACCTAGAATTTTAATGATTAACGTAGTAGTTTGAATACTTTATATCAATTTGACAAGTGATTTAAATTATATACCTCTCTCAAGAATTCAGAACTAAGATTGATAGCGGTTTTAAATATTTTAACTGCTACTTCTGTACTATCTTCTCGGTTCCATTCTGATTTTTCTTCATTCCAAGAATTTTTATCTTCTTTAAATGTAATTGGACCATTTTTCCATATTGCTTTATGGACACTCCCAAAACCACCAGTAGCAATATGCTCTTTTAATTCGAGATCAGAAAAAGGTATCCATTCAATCATTTCATTAGGTGCGTTAGCGGTTTCTTGCGATTCTTGGATCAATTTATCAATTTCAGAATTATAACTCGTCCAAGTTTTAAATTTTTCTTTGAATCGAACGGAATTACACGAATTGCAAAATTTAGCATCTTTATGCTTATACAGACTATTGCATTTTGGACAATTGTCTTTTGGAAACAATTCTTCAAGATTAAACTTGCTAATTATTTCTTTCGCAGTACTTTCCATTTTATTAGCAACCTACAGCTTATTTAGAAATAGATTATAAGTCATGGATATGAAATTTCAATAGTTAATTGACTGGCAAAAGGGGTTTTTTTTTGAATAGCTGATTTAGGTAAAATCAATTTGAAAATTGATTCTATTTTTGGAATCCTTGAACATTTGTTTAAGCCTCTTGCATAAATCGGGTCCCAAATTATACTTTAAACGTAAACTTAGCCAATGTCGATCATTTTCATAAATAATCGTCGTACAAAAAATTTTTCGAAAAACATTGTCACACGCTTCCATGTATGGGGCAATGCTGGCTGGGGATTATCCCGAAATAATTGATTGCGCTTGGAATCGCCGTAACGGACCAGGCAGGAAATAAATAGCTTAATTATTCAGCCGGTGGTTTCCCGCCTGCCGAAGTAGACCGGCTATTAGAATGGCAGAATCATGTGACTTTGCTCGATTCTGACGAATAGACTTGAAGTGAAAACAGAACTGAGGATCTATTTGGATAGAGGCCCTTTAGGTTCTGGTTCTACTAACATAGCTATTTAAGCTGCATCTAAAGAAAAAATATGTGTTTTGAAAACATGAACCAGGAGTCAGAGAGACCATTGGCATCTAAAGCCATGCAAACTGACTCTTCCAGGCAATGTGATTGGGAGAATGTAAAAGTCAGAGAAGAAATTATAAAAATAATAGGAATTAATAGTAGAAATAATTCCCGAGTGATACAGTCCAAGCAGACAGTGGGACCATCTGCCAATGGTGAATACTAGATATAAGGGTTAGGTAGGTAAATTTGGGTGATATAATACAAGTTTACTAATATATATTAAGACTCTTGTAGTTGACCATATTAAAACATCAAACATGGGACAAAAAAAATGACCCGCCCGTCCGGACTTTTATTTAAAAAATTTTATATATAAAAAATTTTTTTGAAATTCCACCCGCCTATTAAAACATATAAAAATTTTTTTTCAAAAAAAGTTCAAAATATGACCCGGCCGGGTTATGAGAACAAAAAAATTAAGTTTATATGGCCTTATATTAATTTATACATAAAAATTCTAACTATGTATGCCTACATTGGGTGGGGTTGTAAATCTAAATAAAAATTTTATATAGCATCTATATGACTATGTAGATTTTATGAAAAATAACCTTGATTATGTATGTATTAGATATATTATAACTTGTATATCTATCCGTTAGAATAGATAACTTGTAAATATTATAGTTTTCTGGTAATATAACTAATAACGGATTATTACAACTACCTGTATCTTTATATACATTAAGTTTTGTGCATCTTTCGTAAAAGCAAATCATATAAAACAACTATTAGCTATCTATATTCACTGCTTGGAATAACAAGCACGTGAGGTATTTATCAACTATCAACGCTCAGTTACATCGAGTTGGTTTGAGTGTAACAGTAAAACCATTTAAATTAACATTATTAAAGCATAAGTAAATTAATAAATTAGTAATAAGGTTTAATATTAAAAATTACAATAGAAAAATAAAGTGAATAGAAAACATAATAAATTCCAACACTGTATATCATATAATAATTTAAAACGATAATGTCAAACCATATATAAGCACATTTATATTTATGTCACTTACACCTTGTTTATTAAAAAATTTCGCTAAAATCAACTGCCTCTATTTCAGTATCTATCCAAATAGTTTCATATTCTTCAAATAAAACATTACTCATAACTTGTTCAGGCAAATATTCTATTGCATTATAATCAAGTGATGCCTTAAATATAAACCTTTTACTTTCTGGAGGTCCCGAGGGAAGTATTGAATTAATTAGTTGTTTGAATGTCATCTCGTGGGTAACATAAATATTTGATTTATAAGGAACCTTTTTTGCTGTATTAAGAGTTATAAACTTTAATTTAGATTTGAGTCGCATAATATTTGATTTAATGGCTGAATCTGTGCTAATATTCTCTGCTACATAAAATAAATAGAAATATGAATTATGAGATTTAAAATAATTTATGTGAAATTCAGCTTATGTTGTAGAAAAAATACCTTGGCTTTTTTTAAATTTGTTTTCACTTTCTTTAATTTTTATTTCCATCAATATATCTACAACTTGGTTAATATTAGGACGACTTTTTGGTTCAAATTTCCAACAATCTTCAAAGAGATAACCATATCTATCTGGAGTGCCCTCAATCTTCGTTTCTCTCGCACCATCTTTAATTTTTTTAGATAGTTCCTCTTTATGAATCTCATCTTCGAAAGGTGCTCGACCACTGGATATTTGCCACATAATAACGCCAAGTGAAAAAATGTCTGACCATTTTTGCAAAGGAGTATCCTTTTCGTCATGACGCTGAGGCTCTCGATAACGAATAGCTCCCATGACTCCATTCCTGTGAGAAGTAGTCAGGCCTATACGCTTTCCTGCGCCAAAATCGCTAATTTTGGGGATCGGTACGGTCAAGATTTTTGGATCGGGATTGGGATCATGGAGCAAGATGTTGCCTGGATGCTAAAAATGAAAATAAGATCAAAAAATACTTAATGCCTTGTACGTTTCAAATAACACCTACTAGATCTCGATGAATTATGTCTGCATTATGAAGGCATTTGAGACCCTCTGCAATACCAAGTGCCAATTGTAATTTATCTAACCACGATAAACGTTTGAATACGAATTGGTTCTCAAGAAAATTTTCAAGATTGCCGCAGTTTGCATACTCAATAACAAGAAGATGTTGTTCCTTTTTGTACGCATCGTACGCATCCTCTTCTATTTAGGTAAATAAGAGTTTCTAATAAACTTGAATTTGAAACAAATTGTGTGAATAAATTATTATAGATGCCTTTAGTATATCCGAAAATTCTTATCACATTTTGAGCCGTTCTAACTTTGTAGTGCAAAAATAACTGAAATAGCGATGAAAATAACTAATTAACCAATAAAAATATTAAAAATAATAAACAAAAAAATTTGACAATTTTACCTCATGTATAAAATGTTTCTTAAGTTCCTCAGAGTCTTCTTTCTCTTCTTCTTCTTCCTTTTTAACTTTTTTAATAATTACTTTAATTTTCTCAAATTTAATCCAAGTAGCGCGTCTAAGCTCTCCACACCTGCCTCCTCCCAAAGGCACCGGCGAGATTTTGAGCTCTTCATACGGAATTTCCAAATTTTCTACTTGGCCTTCAAACCAAATTTCTTTAAGACCAGAAAGATCTAAAGCATAAGAAAAGCTACTAGTTATAAATTTGATACAATCGGAATGAAACATACTAATTTATACAGTTTTTACCTTTTTCAGGGATGTTTAGGTTTTCGCTATTAATAATTTGATTTTGGGAAATAAGGTTGCGCTGTAATAGAATTGGAAGTTTTTCGGCTAATCGTTTTTTCCATTTTTTTTCACGCTTTTCTATGGATTCAGTATCCATAGATAAAGAGTAGGTCCATTTACTTAAAGTTTCATGTAAAAATTCTGCCTTAGGCCGGTTTTCAGGATCTGATCTACAGCACCGCCTTATTAAAGTTACTAACTTTTCAGGTACATAATCGGGAATTATTGGTTGTCTGTTCTCATTAACATTTATATCATTTTTGATGAATGGAAGTTCGCCGGATAAAGCCTCTGACATCACAATCCCGAACGAATAAATGTCTGATTTTTCTGTGTATTGCCTATCGTGTAAAACTTCCGGTGCCATGTACGGTAGAACGCCGTAAATATTTTTTTCGCCTACAGGATTAGGACTTTCATCCACTGGACGGCACAGACCAAAATCTGATATCCACACCGATACATCTTCATCTCTTCTCTTATCACACAAAATGTTACCAATATGAAAATCTTTATGGCAATATTTGAGTTTATGAATGGTTTGCAACCCTTCACTAATATCCCTGAAAATTCGAATTAGATCAAACCATTCTAAACTTTCGAGATGTTTCAAAAGATACTGTCTCAAGTTGCCAAAGCGTTGAAATTGAAGGACTATGGCATATTCACCAGTTTGCGGATTACAGGTCAGACCATAAATTCGAGTCATATAGCTTAATTTAAGAAACTTTAGACTATTTTCTAACTAGAATTTAAATGATCAATATAACAATTGTTTTTTTTTTTTTTAAAAAAAAAAAAAAAAAAAAATACTTAATCACATACCTCAACCAAGAATTCAGAACTAAGTTTGATTGCATTTTTAAATATCTTAATAGCTACATCCTTCTCGCCTTCTCGGACCCATTCTGACCTTTGATCGTCCCAAGGTTCTTGATTTTCTTCCATTGTAATTGGTCCGTTTTTCCATATTGCTTTATATACTTTTCCAAACCCACCATCAGCAATATGATTTATATTTTTAAAATCAGAATAAGGTATCCATTCAATCATTTCATTAGGCGCATTAGCTTTAAGTTGTGTTTCCCGAATAATTTTGTCGATTTTAGGGTCATGACTTGTCCATGTCAAAAATTCTTTTTCAAACTGAATAGAGTTACATGAATTGCAAAATTTCGGATCTTTGTATTTATATGGTTTATTACATTTTTGACATGGAAATAGTTCATCATTTTTCGACATAAGATCAATTTTTTTTCACGTTTGTTTTCCATTCTCACATGTAATATATTTGTCGTACACGTAAAATTTTTGCACAAATTTCTTTAATTGGGATGTGCAATCATTACACGAACAAACATATGACCACTGTTGCGAAATAGTTTCCCCCGATGATCGATGAGAACTCATACAGCGACTCATAGGAGGACATTCGTCTGATTGGCTGATGTAAATCAATTGACCGGGAACTTATTTATACACTTTAAAGTACTTTTTGGAAA